CGTACTCAAAACCGACGTCCGAACTGTCGTGTCCTGATGACGAATTTGGTTAAGTGCAATGGAATTAGAATCACCAAACATTTACTCACTCCTATGCACTAATCAGCTGACAAAACCACTCGGTAATCTAGTGTTCAGGTCGTCCCCGTGTTGTTTTACTGCATCTCCCGCCTGATTCATCATAGGAAATCAGAGTAGCGTCCAAACATTCACTCAAATAATACGGGAATTTAGTGTGTGATACTTGTCTTGATACTTAGCAACATAGAATGACGGTCGCCGACTATCACTACGCAACTTCTTTCGGCGTGGACCTCATCGGTTTCCAAATACGATCAGCAGCATTCACAGCACCAGAAGAGTCTTGTAGATAACTGGTTTTGGGTTTGAAAATTTATCTGAGACTATCGTCTATTAAACGAGTGTATCCTTTAAGGGTCCAAGCAGCTTGTAGACGCACCGTCAACCATTTATGCAGGCGTACATCTGAAAAGAAAGCGCTCTTCACCGCTCATATGATTTCCCAAAGTCTATACATTGCCGGCTCGGCCGCAATGTTCGCTTTAAGTAATTTCTCTCAGCCTATACTTCAAATATAGTTTGAGTGTTTGTGAAAATTTTCAAAGAATAGTTCTGTAGATCACCCCTATGAACAGAAGGTTAAGTTTAGTCAATCGGAGGTAATGCACAGCATTCGAAATATAGTCACAAATAGATGTCAGAAACGTATCTAAGTTAAAAAGTTTTCTTTTCTAGTCGTGGGTAAAGGCGGGCAGTAGTAAACGTTCTGAGAGTAACTGATGATTGACCTCGCAATCTGACGCTGTCCGCGGACATATTTCCAAGTTCACCTTTGGGTAGCCTACAAGAACCTGAGATCTCTGAGTCCCCACTACAGGATCGTGCCGAGACCATATCCATAAATATCCACGATAAGCAATTAGGCCTTGGCCTAGTTCTAGGAATACGGCTTTTGTATCATCTTTGTAGCTATCTTTCTGCTTACAATTTCTATTGCAGTGAAGAAGCTCATCTGTTATGATCATTTTTAAGAAATACGAGTGTAAAGTGTTCGGTGGTAAAACTTTATTCGGTATTTAGTCTGAATATTTGACTTCCAGTTAACTTTGACTAAGTTGCCAATTTTACATTTTAAAAACCGCCCGGGAGAGGAGAGCGGGCAGAGGCAGTTGCTCACCTACACGCAACATCTGGTAAAATTGAATGAGTATGGAAGGTGAATTCTTGTCGTTGTTTGCGTAGCCGCCACTAAATTTTCGAAACAGGCAGAGACAAACTATTCTTTATGAATATAAATGAAGTTTTCTTTAATTCAGCGCTCTTTTATTAGGTCGGACTGTTCTCAAGTCTAACCAAACTCTATAGGTATTTATTATCCCAATATCTCTAAAAAAAGTTTGTAGGAGTTGTTATTCTGAGAAATTGGTGTCGGCACCCTATCGTGGACAACACGCTATTGCACTTTCCGCATACTTCATAGGCGGACTCTATCTGATTATTTAAAAATGCATGTAAAATTAACGTGGAATATGTTTTGTTCAACGAGAAATTGTGCCACTTCTACACTTCGGCTGCATTCCAAAAATCTTTCCGTTCCTATTTGAAAGCTAGCTATCGATCCAAGCCGACAGCTTGCGACATACTACGCGGCCAGTCGAAAATGACCTAGAGACTTTCGTCTGGCGGTGGTTCACTTGACGATTTCCCTTTTCCTGAAACCCCTGTGTAGTTATGATTTTTGACAATGCCCATCAGTATTTTTTTATCACTGACGACCATTATATCAGGACGTCAAGCTTAATAAAGGATCTGGGTAAATTGTACTCCATGTGCATTCTTTTTCTTGGAGCACTGCATATTGATAATTTTCAAAGCACTGGAACGGCTGTATTTTTCTCCCAATTTTAAGACTGCCATCAACAGTGCCTGTTACCGTAATATTAACGTTTTATCTGGACTAGAATGCTGCTAATTTTTATTTATTATGCCACAATGCGATGAGGCAAATATACGTTAAATTTTTTTTTTCAAATGAATTTGAATGAAGAAATATCTCAATCTTGCTTATGAAAACAGTTGTATCATCCCAAACCTTGATCCTTAGTGGTTCCAAAGATTATAAAAGGACACTTTCACTGCTTATATTACACCACGTTTCAACTTGAACCGCATGACTACTTTGAAGCATCTTATTTACTCACAAAGTAGTAGCTATCACGGAGTCTTTTTATTTCTTCCAAAACTTTCCGTAAAATATCACAATCGCTGCGGCAGTTTAGCCTAATTATTCGTAACATCTTTCAGGTTAGGCCTAGAAATGTTCATTCTAAGAGATTTATTCTAAAGTAACGCGTTACTTTCCGAGGACATCAAGGAGATTGGAATTAAAAACTTGATCATATACCACAACGCAAACTAGAAATCCGAGGACCCACTGATAAGCCAAACATCGCGCAGCAACCTAATGCAGCAACCAGAATTGACCACACATGTGCCTGACGTTTAGCTGGTACGTATGCTATCCGTTTGGTGCAACATTGGATTTTCAGAAGATTTTAAACCTTTTGATCTATTACTCACGCCTACTTATGCCGTCGACGATTTCAAAAGGGCACTCTATATAATAAAAATTATTTAACTTGCAGCTGCTGGACGCAATCAAAACGGCATATGTCCTAGAAATTAGATGATTGCATGGCGTACAAATTCTTATGATTATGAATATGAAAGAACCTTTTGGAATAAACATGAAAGTTCCAAGGTGTTCTATCCTGGTAACTTTTTACATAAAGGAGAATCTACAGCAGCGATGGCTGGTAAGAAATTTGTTTTCTGACAAATTTGTTATATCGAGTGCCTTCGATGAGAATTCGCAACTATTTCGAGATCAAAGATTGTGTGAACAATTAACTAGCCAACAAACGTAGCATTCATCAAAATTATAATGATTTATAGACTGCACAGTAATAAAAAGAGCCTGAACCCTTTAAGAAAAATTAATAACTACGAGCGAAACCAGGCCATAGATAATTCTAACATTAGAGCCTTCTATTCTTTTGCACTTGAAAATTGCTTACAGATCATATTAGATCGCAGGTACACAGGCAAAAAACTGATACAGTTGAGTGAGCCAAGATAAGCTAATTTTACGACTAATAGGTCTGCGGTTGTCCAGTTTTATATAATAGCCACGCTTTTTAGATTATCACAGACTGGAAACAGAACACGCTCCAAAGGCCGTTTTAACGCTACATATATGAGATTGAATTAAGTCTGTCAAGTCAGAAACGTCTTTTGTTGACTCCGGACTTGGACTAAAATTTCTGCCGCGAATGGAACTGGAATGAACTGGTCCCGGATTTGGGAGGGAATGTTAGAAACTCCCCAAAGCGCCAAATATGTTTGCTGACAAGTACTAAGACTGTTTACAGACCCCCAATGACTGCTAGTTAAGGATTTCGTTATTTGACTGATGCCTGATTACCTCGAACGTTGAACACCGTTTTGACAAAAACCAACATAATCAAGGAATCAACGACTTGAAGTATAGTGCTTGGCTCGACCGACAGCAGTTTGCGGACCTCAAGTTTCATAAGACATTAATATTAACTTATGCTCTTGATCCGTTTACGAACTTTCTAGCCAACGCAAAGACTACAGCGCAAGTTAAGTCGATTTACATCTCTTCGCCTTAACGACACATCAAGTTGCCGTTTTGATCATTTTAATTGCGCGTTAAGTTGGCTTTTGCGTCCGCCAGATCGAGAGCTCAGTACGTATATATACAGTATATACTATAGTTTCGTTCTTTTGCTACCCACAAAGCGTTTTAAGTACTTTGATTATAATTAATGGCGCATGTATCCGTAGACATTTCTTCACGTTTAGTATATTGAGAGTCTAAATAATTTGAGATGCCCATCCGACGAAACTAGACACAGCAACGTAAATGGTATGAAAAAACTTGTAAAAAAGATTCCCGAATTGAGGCAAAGAGAAAAGCCAAAAGCACATACTGTATTTTATGTCGAGCTTTGGACAAAACACTGTGCAAAAGCAAAAAATAACGCTCAGCCTATGTGGATATTATTTTTGAGTTAATTTGTGACTATGCTTATTTTAGAATTATCAAACCAACTACTAACATCTTCAGTTGAATTTACACAAGCATACATTACAACAAATTGTTAAAGCTTTAAATGTTAGCACCTAGCATACCTAAACCATCTACATTTTCATAGTCACTCCGAGTCCTGAGGATTCACTCGGTGGTACCCGCCATCGAGCAATTCGTTTGACGAGAGTCGCGAAAAATGGACGCTTATCGTACTGGTCTCTTCTCTTCTTGCGCGGTGGCGGACGCCATATCTGTAGTCCAGAGTGTCAAGTTGTCGCGAATGAGCTGCATAACAAGCGTTGCATCCTTGTAGTTGTCCTCAGAGATATTGTCCAATTCGGCAATTGCATCATCAAAGGCTTGTTTCGCAAGCTTACAAGCTCGGTCAGCCGAATTCGCGATTTCATAGTAGAATACAGAAAAGTTCAGAGCAATTCCAAGTCTTATTGGATGTGTCGGTGGAAGTAAGCTCGTAGCAACTTCGTAGGCATCTTTGTAGGCACTAAGACTGCATTCGGCTGCGTCCTTTTTATCGTTGCCTGTTTCGATTTCAGCGAGATATC